AACAAGTGGATATTAGTACAACAACAACACAGCTACTGACAGTGTCTCATTAAAAAAAACAAGTGGATATTAGTACAACAACAACACAGCTATTGACAATCTGTCTGATAAAAAAAGTGAATATTATTACAACAACTTCGCTATACAAAAGCAAAACACTCGTATTAAGAGTAAACCTGAGCAAGCCGAACGTTAAAGTAAGACTGATTGACACAGAATATGCGTAAGGGTAATCCATCGTCATTTGCTGTAGATTTTAGTGTAACTAAAGTATTATTAATGTAATTATCTACATATAACTTAGATGAAATAAAACAAACAATTAACTACGTGCATAAGCGACGGTTTTGGCTTAATTTAAAACGATATTAATTCAAAGAAAAATAATAATAAGCAAACGATAAGATTAATCGAGGAGAAACTAACAACAAACCTTGATGAAACTAAAATCTGTTTTTGTAAACATGACTGGGCTCTGAAGTACTGGAAATCGAAACTAAAACCTAATGGGTTATACAGTTAGTGTAACTAATGGCAACGGTGTCTCAGATTCTAAACAGTTCTGAGTAACGCAACGAACGGTCTTTCGACATAAAATCATTAGTACTGAATACAAGTTAAATGTTGTACGTGATCACGTCTCACTGTTAGAAACGTAACTTTGTACAGAAATAAATTTATTATCCCACAAATAGCTGTATCAAAACTTCAGTTAGTTCTGCTTGTGACTATGAGATGGCGCCACTAGGCAGGAGTAATAAGTGTCTCTAAGAATAAGCGTTACTATGACGACGAGAAACACATTCACCTTATTTGTAATTTATTTATCTAGTATAAATTAATTTTAATTTGACTGAAAACATTTTAAGTTGTGTATAAGAAAAGTACTAATGATTTATTATGGAAAACATTTACCAGCATGCTAGCATAACTTACCCTCTTCAGCTAGTTTTTTATTTCCATGAAACATATCTTCTGTGGCTTTTAGTGGCGCCATCTCGCGGGCTTCTAGGACTTTTGCGAACTTCTCATCCCTGTAAGTAGTTGTATGGGACAGGCTATCAAATGGAAAATTCTAACAAAACAACACCATAAATGAACGCATAACTCTAAAAATAACCAGTTATTTTAACTATGTATTTCTCGATTTTTATATTAATTTTATGCTTTACAGAGAAATGGAAATTCGAAAAGTATAATTGGAGTAATCTAGAAAAGATTTTATGACGTCACAAGGCAGATGTCGATTTATTGCCTATAGTCAGTCATTTTCTTTTTGTGTTAGAAATGACGAACGTGTAAATGACATTCTCGAAAAAAAAAGGCTTACTGAAGGTTTTACCATCTTATTTTTGGTTATGGTGGTATAAAAATGTAAATATGTTTAATAAAGGAAAAATTGACTTTGTATAATGTCGTTACGGGAGTTTACACTTTAATTGAACTCCAAATGTGCAGTAAATAAATGTAGGTTATTTCTACTGAAAAGTTATAAAATTATGTTTGAAATTATTATTTCCTACTGTTATGCTCAAAGCACCACCTTTTCGTTCTTGATTATTATGAGCGCATAATCATTAAGTTTGAGTTTACCAAAAGGCTTAACGACTCAATTATTATGAGCGCATAATCATTAAGTTTGAGTTTACAAAAAGTCTTAACGACTCCACGCATTTTAAAATCGGAATAAGCTAATATTACCTAACGTTACTATATTTTCATGACCTAAGTAGCCAAAATGAAATATTAAGACATAGCTGATTCTGAACAGATAAAAAATGAAATTATTTTTATAAATCCAACACTTCTTAAGTAACGGGCTCTGAAATGTGACTAATGCTTAACATTAAAATCTAGGTGGCGTTCAAGTTCCGATATAAGGAAAATTTTCATCGTTAAATCTCTTGTCATTCTCATACTTTCCACCAGGCGTTAGATTTATGACGTAAGAGTTGCTGCTCAGGAATTTGTTTTGTCTCAGGCTTAAAAACTCTGAGAAAGTGTAAACAACTGATTGAAAATACTCTGTGAAAGTAAAAAACAATTGGCCTTAAACTTATAAAAATATTATAGAATATCAAGTTCACACACACGATCACACTGAAATCAACAAGTTCACACACGATCACTCTGAGACCATCGAGTTCACACACCTGATAATTTTTTAAAAAATGATAAAAAACTGGTTAATCCCAAAATAATTTTATGAACTAATGTATGATTAAGAAACATTCAAATTGAGTATGTATTATATTATTGTATTTTATTAATATTGTGTCATAAGTTTTAAATTAATTTAATTTTAAATAGTACATTTCCCGCTGATGAGCATCGCGGAATGGTATTCGAATGTATTATGCTGTATTAATATTATTAATACAGAAAAACAAAAACAAATACACAATAGCACTATGCCTATCAAGTTTTCACACACACTATAACACAGAATCAAATTCACACACTTATGATGTTAGAAAAACACGTACGTTCAAGAAGTCTTGATAGAAATGAATAAAGACCCTATAACCCTAGCGCTTTCGAAAGATGGACCTTTCTTCTTCAGGGGCAAACTGGGAATGGTGGTGTAATTGAATGAGTGATATATATATAAAGGGAGATTAATGACGCTAGTGACGTTAATAAAAACTCATGACGTCAAATTCACACACTTGATATTTTGGGTAAAATGTGAAGTACAGCACTCTAACGCCACCTGGTGCTCTTATAGTAATGTTTACTATTTTAATTAATGTTACAAATACATAATATGATAATACGGAAATACTAATGTTTACGGATTATTGTTGAGAGAGGTATTACCTTTGGTATATCGTCATGAGAAATCCTCCCCCAAGTCCCATGCTGTGAGGGTTCACAACCCCCATACAGAGAAGTGTGGCGATCGCTGCATCCACTGCCGATCCATTTTTCTTTAAGATAGATCTGGAAAAAATAAAATAATTAGATGTACACGAATCTCATTACGAAACTTTATACCCCCCTTCTCTAACCCTTATACTTAGTATGATCTGCATTACCTCTCCCTTTCCCCCAATAAGAAGGATTCTGTTACCGTAAGCTGTTTAATTTCTGTTCACGTAGTCAGTGAACGACGCGAAATACTAGACCATGATAATAAAAAAATGCTGATATTAAAACTAGTTTAAATAAATGTGTCAGATGTATGTAAATAAATCAAAACGTTTAACGAAAAGTTAAAAAAATCACAAAAATCGAAATACACATATCGAGCAAGATTAATTTTAAATAAAATTGTAAGAGTCTGTCCACTTACTTTCCCACTGACGCACACTGACCAGCATCCGTAGATATGGCGGCGCTAGTGTACACTTCCGATACTGTGGGGTCTTGAGGATGATCTCTGAGCAAGAGTCCTACTATTAGGCCTACCACAAGAGAGGCTATCAGTAGTGAGGCAACGACAGACACCAGCACCTTAACCGACAGGTGTTTCCTGGAAAGGAACAAAAGTAATAAATAAACAACTCGACAACTAAGCTTACCACGAGAGAGGCTATAAACAGTGATATAACCACAGATAGCAACACCTTAACCGACAGATGTTTCCTGGAAAGGAACAAAAGTAATAAATAAACAACTCGACAATAGGCTTACCACGAGAGAGGCTATAAACAGTGATATAACCACAGATAGCAGCACCTTAACTGACAGGTGTTTCCTGCAAAGGAACAAAAGTAACAAGTAAACAGTCCAGGAGTGAAAGCCATAACTTAAGAACATAGTATTTCTTGGATAATAGATTTTAACATTAAAAGAGAGTGTTTGATAATAATATTTTTTTTGTTCAATATAAACTTTACTTGAAGGCTGGGGTGATTTGGAGGCTCTTTATATAAAAACATGTTACTAAACATTCAGTGGTTGACGAAATATATACTGAAAGTAAGTGAAAGATGAGATACATTATTAGATTAGATAGTTAGAAATCATTCTTTACACTAGTGTCATTAGAAAACAGCAAAGTAGGGCAGTCAAGAAAGTGGAACTAGTCTGTTAAGAAGCTAGATTAGGCCCATTAAGACGCCAAAGTAGGCCTGTCAAGAAAGTGAACTAGTCTGTTAAGAAGCCAGAGTAGGCCCATCAAGACGCCAAAGTAGGCCAGTCAAGAAAGTGGAACTAGTCTGTTAATAAGCTAGATTAGGCCCATTAAGACGCCAAAGTAGGCCTGTCAAGAAAGTGAACTAGTCTCTTAAGAAGCTAGAGTAGGCCTATCAAGACGCCAAAGTAGGCCTATCAAGAAAGTAGAACTAGTCTCTTAAGAAGCTAGAGTAGGCCCATCAAGATGCTAAGGTAGGCCTGTTGAGATATTAGACTTTAGAGCAGGCCCGTTTTAAGCAGATAGAGCAGACCTGCCAAAAGACCAAAGCAGGGCAGTCAAGACGGTACAGCAGACTTGTCAAGATGCTATAGACGGCTTGTCAAGTTGTTAGAGCAGACCTTGTCAAGACATTTGAATAGGTCTGTGCAGACGCTTTAACGGGCTTGTCTAGGTGTTATAGTAGGACCTGTCAAGATGTTATAGCGGGTTTGGGGATCAGATTTTCCGGTTTAAAAGTTAATAGCTAATTCTGGTGATTCGCCTTTAAGATATCTTATCCTAAAAACAAAATATAGTTGATTACTAAATAATTTAGAACAAGCAGAGCGTGCTCTGGTGATCAAAGTGTCGAGCCGAGGCTCGAGACGTGATTCTGCTGAACACACTACGCTCTTTCAGCTGAGGCTTTGTTATAAAAGTGACAGTCAGTCCCGTTAATGTCTTCAAAGAGCCTGACAAAGCCTTTGTGACGGCAGTTGATGCTTATTGGCTGCCTTTCTTTTTGTCAGTGGCTTAAAATGGGGGACGACTAAACCTGAACTCCAGGGGTCTCTGACTGACCTTTTAGCCCATAAGGTGTAGTTCAGGATAAAAAATCTAAATCTGGCCTCAAATACTGTTTTTTTATTATCTAGAATTACAAATGGCCTGGGTTTTTATGTACGACTAAAAAAAACTATAAAACTTGTGTGAAAGTATTATTTAATGGAAATAACAGCAAAGAAACTAATAACACATGACAGTCTCCCGAGGACTGGATTACACAGTTGTCTCTTTATTTGACAACAGGAAAGAAATTAATAACACATGACAGTTTCCCGAGGACTGGATTACACAGCTGTCGCCCCCCAGTTGCACAGCGGTATGTCTGCGGACTTACAACGCTAGAATCCGGGTTTCGATACCCATGGTGGGGAGAGCACAGATAGCCCATTGTGTAACTTTGTGCTTAATTACAAACAAACAATACACAGCTGTCTCTTTATTCGACACATTTTTCTGAGTCTAGGCTTTACGAACACCACCAAATATTGATATTTTTTCTTTAATAAATTTTATCCGCGGTTTCATTTTTCCTCCCTGAAGTTACAGGTATTTGATGTTTTCTCTGAACGACACGTGGGGTAAACTGACAGGTCAGTGACCTTTAAGGGTAACCAATCAGCAGCTCCCGCAGTCTATTGAATAGCGTGACTGAGTATCACACTTATAACACCCCTTCAGTTGAAAATATAGAGAGTTTTCAGTGACATATCCGGGACCCAACATTGTATCTTCGGATTCAGAGTGAGGCACACTAATCATTAGGCCACTCCCTGTCTTGTACAATCGCAAAAAGTAATTGCTTTTATAGAGCGATGAATAAGGTTTTTTTTTTAAAAAAACAACGTTTAACTCTGAAATACTTTCTCTGTAGCCATGTTTTCGGTTTACAATGTCAAGGCTACTGTTTAAGTAAAAAGTAATTCAAAAATCATTTATTTGTTTACAGTTCGTTACGTTAAGACCCATTATTATTTTACTCAAACCTCTAAGTAGACAGTTCCTCTGGAGTGTAATCCTCAACAGTTCACTCTGAAATGTAATCCTCAACAGTTCCTCTGGAGTGTAATCCTCAACAGTTCACTGTGAAATGTAATCCTCAACAGTTCACTCTGAAATGTAATCCTCAACAGTTCACTCTGGAGTGTAATCCGCAACAGTTCACTCTGGAGTGTAATCCTCAACAGTTCACTGAATAGTGTAATCCTCAACAGTTCACTCTGGAGTGTAATCCTCAACAGTTCACTGAATAGTGTAATCCTCAACAGTTCACTGTATAGTGTAATCCTCAACAGTTCACTCTAGATGTAATCCTCAACAGTTCACTCTGTAGTGTAATCCACAACAGTTCATTCTAGATGTAATCCACAACAGTTTACTCTAGATGTAATCCTCAACAGTTCACTCTGTAGTGTAATCCACAACAGTTCATTCTAGATGTAATCCACAACAGTTCACTCTAGATGTAATCCTCAACAGTTCACTCTGTAGTGTAATCCTCTACAGTTCACTATATAGTGTAATCCAC